AGAAGTCTCTCTCTTGATCCATCCAAAAGCTAGATGCCCAGTCCGTGCTGGGTCCCCAAAAAGTCAATGAGAAGGATTAGACATGTCTGCAGGACAATTTCTCTTGTCCCAGAAATGGTTTATATCTGTACAGTTGGTCCCGACCTGACAGGGATGTTCACTTCCCACTCTGGAGAAACCTAAACAGCTTGCTCAGAAAAGACTAACACTTTGGTTTTCATGTGTTCAGAGTCAGATACACTTCTGAACAACTGTGTTCGTTGTTTCCTCTCAGAGCAGACATGATGTCTGCATGTTGAATGACAGTTAAAGGGGAAAAACGTTTTGGGGGTATGCCTACAAATACCAGAGGGTTGGAAATTCCCTTTCATCAGTTGGAGCTAGGTTGAGGTCTCTGTGATGAAACCTCTGGAGAAAGAAACCAGGAAAATAGCTCCTAACCAAAACTATTCTATGATTCTATGAACAGATGGATGTTCCAAGAAGAGCACAAAGAGACTTTAACTTGTCACAAGATAGGAATTACACATTCTGTGCTTTTGGGGAAGAAGGGCTTACCAAGAACTGGCACAAAGTAGGATTTAGAAGCCCTGATGAACCAAAGCTCCACTTTCTTCCTTCCACAGAGGATGAATTGCTGTGGCCAAAGGAGGGAGACCAAAGGAACACTGGTGAAGATATTCTGTGGAGAAGACACCACCATTCAGCTGGGGCCCTGAATGAGAAATGACTTGTTGGCCTTGTCCATTGAGAGGAGTGGCACATGATAAAAATTACTTTAGCCAATGTGAAAATGAGGCTCCAGGGGTAGTGAAACACCCATGCAAAGGCTGAGGTAAACTTGGTTGAAATAGTCAGGATTTTTTTTATCAGAACAACTTTTCAAAGGAAAATATCACTTTAATGGCTTGACATACATTGAAGAAAGGCATTGTTTTCAACAAATTTCCAGTGAAACACAGGAGTTGTCTCCCTGCCAGGGCATACACCCAACCAGGGATCATGGCTCTGCTGTGGTCTCTCAGACTGCCACAGTCATTGAGCATGTCTGTATATCTGTCCTGGTTTGAGCCAAGGTGAAGCTACTTTTCCTTTTACTGAAGGAAGAAAAAAAAAAAAAAAAAAAGTCAGTAAAAGGAAAAGTGGCTTCATCCTGGCTCAAACCAGAACAATATCT